CTGCGGTGAGGGTGACAGGTGCTGGGGTGGGGGAAATGTGCAGGAGTGTGGCTGACATGCTGGGGAGAGCGGCACACACTGTGGTGATGGTGACGCCCTGGTGCGAGGGTGGCTTATGAGTGGGGCACCCTCAGGAGCAATGTCAGCCTCCTTCCCAGGAGCGACTGAGCACAAGGCTTGGGGAGCTTAGGGGAGTAGCAGCCTTCAGTGACACGCAGAGCTTCTGGGGTGCCAAGTATTTTCCAGCCCGGCCCACCCCATTCCTACCAAGGAAGATGTCTCATGCCACCCCAGCGCGCAGACAAACGAGGCACAGAGGCTCATCCTGCAGGCAGACATGCTCAGGGCACGACCAAGGGGAGCCAGGGTGGAGGGGGCACCGAGGCAGCGGCTGTCAGACCCCCTTTCTGTTCAAATCTGAGTCCGCTCGGTGGAGAACATGATGGGAAACTGCCAACGTCCAGGCCTGGTCCAGAGCTCCAGAGACAGGAGGTCCCAGCCTCTGCCGTAACCGCGACCCTCAGACTCCATCGCCCCACGCTGGGTGCCGTTCTCCTGTCGGCAGGGCCTCCTTCCCTGCCCTCCACTTCTCCAGTGCCATCTGTGATGCCTCCTGAGGTGGCACCTCAGGCTGCCAGGGGTCCCCACCGCATCTGCTCCCGGGCGACTGTCTGCTCCTCCTCCCACCCCACAGTTCCGTGAGGCGGCTGTAGGCTCTTCACGGACACCGTCCCTGCTCCGCCCCTGCAGGCCTCCAGTCTTCTCTCCTCCCCACATGCCTGCCACCTGGCCCTCTCTCCCCCAGGCAGCCCTCTTTGCTGGGCCCTGTGCAGCCCAGGGTGTGGAGCGAGCTGGTATGGCGGCACTTCCTAGAGACCCGGGGACCTGGCGTTGGGCTGAGTTCGCTCCGCAAGAGGCTGCGGGACTCTGGGCTTGGGTGCAGGGCCGCAGAGACAGGCAGAGAAACGCTGCTTGGTCACAGGACTTTCTGCCGTGAAAAAGATCTATAAACTGATCTGTGCGTCTCAAACAGTGAAGACAGAAGACAGAGCCGGTTTAACACTTATCTGAAACACGTGTGGGAATGAGGTTGCACGCTGGAGGCTCCAGGTGCCGACGATTCCCAGGTGAGCCCGAGTTTGGCTGCAAAGAACAAGTAGCACCAACCCCCACCCAGAGAGACCTGAGAGAAGGGACTCCGGCTGCAGGACGTCTCGGCCTTGGCAGGCGCAAGCGTCTCTGCACCCTTGTGTCCGTGACAGCGCCTGTCCAGTGAGAGGCCTGCCTGTCACCGCCATTCCCTCCAAATGTGTGAAAGCAAACAACTCAAATCCGCCGGCAGGAGCATCTCAGAGAAGAGCGTGCGCAGCAACATGAGGCTCCCGGGGCTTGGCTCACCGGCGTGCCCTCTCCTGCTCTCTGCTCACTGCGTGGTGAGCACTGATGGTCAGGCTGGGGTCCTGCAGGCTCGACACACACCGCATGCGTAATTACCCAGCAGGGGCAGCCCCCACGTCCCTCCCAGAGCTGGGAGGGTGCCGAGACGCTAGCACTGGCCCGAGCCTGTGTCTGAGCTGCGGGACTGCTTTTCCAGCCAGGGACCCAGACAGAGGCTGGGCGTGGGTGCGGAGCACGGAGCACGGAGCAGGTGCGGTGTGGGAGGGGTCCTGCGGGAGCAGCCTGTGGCTGCATGGGACACTGCCTGGGTGGGCTGGCTAGAGTGCTGGGAGAGTCACCAGCTCAGCTAGGCAGCAGAGCCCTGGTGTGGAAGTCTTCGCTTCAGCCATGATGTTCTTCCAATTAAACTTTTGTGAACAAATCTAAATATTCATTTCTCTATTGCTAAAGAGATGAAGAGCATGCGGCAATGAAACCACGGAAGCCTGAAAACCTGCTGTGAGACAGGACTGGGTGCTCCGAAAGACCCACGGCTCCCTGACGTGGAACAGTGGCCACTGCTCCCGGGGCCAGTCCTCAGTCCAAGGCCAGGGTGCAGGGCCTGGTGCCCCCCTGCACCCCAACTCCTGCACCTCAGGAGTCCTGTGGGCTGTCCCATTGCAAGGATTGCTGGTTTCTGGAAACACATTTCTACAGCTAAGATCCTGGTGCCAAAGTGCTTACAGTCACCATGACAGATGGGCTGGGAGAGACGGTGTGGCCAAGGCATGTGCGGACGGGTCATCGAGCACAGAGTGGCCTGGGTGAGGACACTGCCCAGGGGGAGGGTGGGAAGGATGAGAGGAGGCACCGGGAGAGCAGCCACCCCTGAGGTGGTCACAGCCACCGAGCGAGTGCAGGCACCGTGAAGCCCGTTTTCTGGTCTGCAGAGGCGCTAGGCTGTGACCTGACTTCCACTGGTAAAGCTCACAAGAGGATGAACAACGTTAGGGTCCCCATAACCTTCGGGGTGCGGCCTGGCCCCCTTTCTCCACGCATCACGCAGTTTTCTTGGGAAATATCAAATGACCTCAGACTTTCTCATTTACTTTTTTCTTACTTCTCTCTCCCAAATGGAAGTGTTCTAAAAACTGGACTCTTGTCTCCACGCTCTTCAAGGTGCTGTACTATTCTAATACCTCGACTGGCTTCCTGCAGTTGTTCACCTTTCCAGACTGTCACGCATGGCTCAATATATTAGACTCACTTGGGTGACAGGACAGGATCTCAGGCCTGCTAAGACCACCAGGCCAATCCGAGCCCACAAAGGATGCTTGCCGGTCCTCTCAGGGCACTGCAGACAGGTGTGCGCACACTTCCCTGGTTCTGCTGGGGCTCAACAAAACCTCTTCGGCCCACAGGCACAGCAACAGTCTTGTGGCCTGGATCTGCACTTGTCCACATCTGGTGTCAAGGATGCACGAAGATGGCCATGGTGACAGTGGCATGAAGCCCTGGCACTTTCTGTTGGCCACAAGCAGAAGAATGGTGGGCTGCCAACCAGAGCCCGGCACCAGTGACCTTACACATGTAAGATGCAGCGAGGAGGAAGCAAGCCCAAGTGCACAGCACATCTGGTGCCCGAGGCCCCGGGACACGCCAGCTGTGCGGGAGGGCGGGGGGCAGCACACTGCATATGCTCAGCGGCTCCAAGCTGCGGAACAGCCCTGGGACACAGGTGCTTTTGCAATTACATCTTGAGGATGAGAAACTGGATGTTCCAACTGTAATTGTTCACAAAGGAGTAAAGACCCCGTCCTGACGTCTGCTGCAGGTAATGGCATGCCTGGGAAGCAGGAGGCTGTGGCTGGGTTTTGCAATCCAGCATCTGAGCTTGCATTCTGCTTCTCGGTCATGAAAGTCACCCTGAGCATGACAGGGTGCAGGGGCATGCAGGATTCTGCAAAGTGCCTTCCCTGGGTACGCATGAAGGCAGCCATGCGGACGCTACCCCCG